GTAGAGATGCTGCTGATGGCTTCTCCTGTCTTCACATATTATTATATCACCAAATTTAGCACCCACAGTATATTGTCCTTTTTAAAAACATATTTTATACCATAATAAAACAGCATGCAAAGCTCAGTCTCTCCGAGAAGCAAATTGTATGAAAATCAGTCCTTTCACTGTTTAAATGTAACTGAGAGATAAACGGGAAACAAATGACCTCCAGGCTGGAGGTGAAACACTCTGCTTCAATGCGTTTCATTTTCTTCTCTGTAAAGCTCTTCCTCCTTTCTTCACTTTTAGTTGCAGGAGTTGCAAGACAAGTATGCAGAGTGTATGGAGATGCTCCATGAAGCTCAGGAGGAACTGAAGAACCTGAGAAATAAAACTCTCCCGCTCAGCACGGCGAGGCGTTTCCATTCCCTGGGCCTGTTCCCGATGGTGAGTGATGGAGTTAAATTTTTAAGGGTTGTTACAATGCAAATGAAATGTACATAGTTAGATGAGAGACTGTCTGTCTGCATCACAACATCTTCAGTTCCCAAGTAGCAATTTGTTTCTTCTCCAGGACTCACTGGCAGCAGAAATAGAGGGCACCATGAGGAAGGAACTCCAAATGGATGATCCAGACGTAGAAGAGCAGAGGTACATATCCTTTTTTTTCCCTCCACAGTATGATCTGATTCAGATGTTAATCATTCGTAATAATCTAAAAGTCATCCATCAACTCCATGTTTGTGTGTCTGCAGACTGCATCCGAAGCGAGTTTTCCAAACGGTGAAAAACCTCAATCTGATGCGTCAGCAGCGTTCTTCTCTAGCCCCCTCTCCTCTCAACATCCCCGGCTCCAATCAGACTTCATGCTTCACCTCAGGGCGTTCCAGCAGGGTGGGCACGCCACGCTCCAACTCCATTTATGGTAGTGAAACAGGAAGTGGGATCATCCTAGACAACAGGACTAGCAGTATCCTGGAGATGCCTGATGACGGGTACGGACATCGCTCCCGCTACGGACCGTAGATTTGAATGATGAAGCATAATGACCTGATGAAATGTATTTAATTTAGAAGCACCCCAGTTATGTGGTTGAGTGTTCATTTGCAGCTGTTTTGAAATTTGATTAAGGTTCTCATTTCAAAGTTTGGCAAAAACCTTCTAGTTCCAGTTTCACAAATAATTTCCTGTGTTTATTTGTCATATCTGACAGTAAGTTGAAAAATTTAGTTCCTTCTGTGATTCAAACGTTTGGATTATTTTTCCAAATGACTTGTGAGCGTTTTTTTATACACTTAAGAGTGAAATAACACAATTATTTAAGGTTTCTTCTTATTTTTTCCCCTTTTGATAGTGAATTAAATTAAACTATCATTTTATTATCTCAAAATAGAGATTAACTTTGCAAAAAACTGTACCGCTGTCTGTCTCCCTCTTCAGGTCAGAGGACTCCAACAAGCGCCCCCCTGGTACCCCTGGGACTCCGGGCAGCAGGGACTTGGAGGCAGCATTGCGTCGCCTGTCGCTCCGCCGGGACAACTACCTCTCAGAAAAAC